CCCAGATAACGTTTTATTTTGGGGATAAATCTGTTTTTGGAGAAGGCAGAGTGTTGCAGATAAGAGTTAGTTGGCAGGGACTTGGGATTCGCTGGGGTTTGAAAGTCTTGCAGAATTAACCCTGTTTTACCAACATCATGTTCTGTTTAGCAAATACAGAGATGTTGAGCTAGTATTCTGCTGATGTAGAATAAGGATTTTGGAAAGTGTGATTCACATAGGAAGTTAGGTCACTACTTGGTGAATCATTGATTTGGATCTTACAGTTGAAGTAGAGGAAAGCTAGAAGTTGGTTACTGCCTGTTTTATTAGATACCTCCTGTCATTTTATGGAAAGTGTTGTATTACACATTGTTAGGTTTGCTGCTGGATATTTATTGTCATGAAGTATGGTAAGGAAATAAAAATTGAACTTTTGCAGAATATTTGGGTGTAGAATTGTTTGTTAGTTCCTAAGTGGGTGGTTGTGATTTTTACCCATGTTTTGTCCAATGTGGGGAGATAAACGAAGGGCTCTAGAAATAAACACCAGTGAAAGGAGAGCTACTACCATCGTCAGGGTAGGGGAAAGTTCGCTGAAAGAATCTGCAGTATACAAAATAGTCTTTGAGTGAAAGGTCTCACCCATTTTGCAAATCTGTCCTTAAAAATGTGGCATGAGACTCACTGTAGATGGTGAGTTCTTATTTAAGGTCTGGTATAGAAGAAAGTGTACACTGAAGTTGTGATTTATTTATTGTTGGAATGAATTCATTTTAAACTAGGAATAACTTTTTATGCTGAAATGTAACTTGATCATTTTGGCTTTTAAAATGTTGTTAAGCAAAATAACTTTGAACCTCAGAGTTCTTGATACTCTGAGCCTGTTTTCTGTTTCTTCTTTCTGGAATTCAGCTTATTTTACCTTGATTTTTGTTTATAAAGAACTTTAGTTACCAGTGATAAAGTAATGGTAAGTTTACCCCGTTGGTCTTGCTTACCAAATTCCTTTAATTCCTTGACTAAATTTTGACATCTTGTTTCCTAGATTGTTGATTCTTATATTCAGAGTGTTCCCTAATGCTGCTTTTGATTTTTGTCCAGCCCATAGTGACATAAGAGTTTCAGTTCCCTGTGAATAGATTCCCTTTTGGAAAATCCCTGTAGAAACCACCGTCAGCATCACTGACAGCCTGGATAGGTAGACGGGCAAGAGAAGCCTTCTTAGTCAGGATTTAAGTATCTCTTAGTGAAAGAAAACAAAAGTGATAGAATATATTTGACAGAGTAGATTCTTTCTCTCTCAAGACAAAACCAAAAACAGATCTTTATTGGAAATGAGAGGGAGGCAGCAGTCTCTTGCAGAGCTCTTTGTGACTTGTTTACCCTGTTCTTAGTGTAAAAAGGAACAGAATTAATGATGGATGGAAAAAAAAAATCTCCCTGCAGTGTGCTGGGAATGTTGATGAGGGTCACTTAAGAGGAAATAAAATTCTTCTGTCCTCACCGTAAGATCATTGCACATACAAAACAGAGGCCCTTTCATAGCTTTTTTCTTTTAGGTAGTTGCTTTCTCTCTGGAGAATCTGAATGGAGGGAGGTCCTTTAACCAGGAAAACGTACTACCTTGTCCAGTTTGCAGATAATGAATAGCCTTTATGACCATCATTCAGAACTTTTAAACTTCAGAAGAAAGGAACTGAGCAAGTTTACCCTGTGAGTAAAATAACTGCCCTTTCCCTCCATTCTCCCCTTTAAGATCATAGACAGGACACCTGTGGAAATGATTGAAAATTTTTTTTTTAATTTATTGATTTTAGAGAGAAAGAAGGGAGAGAGAAGGAAACCTTGATTTGTCGCCCACCGTTTATGCATCCACAGGGCTGCTGCTTGTATGTGCCCTGCCCGGGGCTCAGACCTGCAGCCGTGGCGATTCGGGGCATGCTCTAACCGAGCTACCTGGCCAGGGTGAAGTGATTTTTTGTATGTGTTGCCCATTGCACTTTTAAAACTTTTTGGCCTATAATAAAAAGTGGGCCAGACCTAAAAGGAATCAAACAATGGGCTGAAAGCTGGGTTTACTGTATGTCATACTTTGTCATTTGTTCTATTATTTCGTGGGGGGACAGAGAGAATTTTGTTTTATTTCTTGGAGAAACTTAGACCTGTTGCACATTTGTACGCTTTTATTGTGGTAAGTAGTAGGTAAGAGTAGAAATGGGAAAAGGAAGAGGGGAAAAATGGCATACGTGGAAGGAGAAAGTTCACTTCATGGGTTCAGTAGATTTTTGCAGGACGTTTTAAAATTGATAAACCATTTAAAAAGAAAATGTTATATGGTGAAAAGTAAATCTCCTTTCTTCAGTAACCTTCTAGCCTTCTCTCACTCCCCCTCCCCGTAATCCAGGTGGTTTCCCGCATGTCCGTGTCCAAGTTTTCTATACATATGTACTCACATAGGTTTAAGAGAAATGTCCTATACCTTTCTTTTTTACCCTTAATATGTCTGAGAGCTTTTTAAAAAAAATATGTCTTTATTGATTTCAGAGAGAGGAAGGGAGAGGGAGAGAGAGAGAAACATCAGTGGTGAGAGAGTCATTGATCGGCTGCCTCCTGCACGCCCTCTACTGGGCATCGAGCCCGAAATCCTGGCATGTGCCCTGACCAGGAATCAAAACGCCATCTCCTGGATCCTAGGTCAGTGCTCAACTGCTGAGCCACACCAGCTGGGCAGAGCTCTTTCTATGTGAGCACATATGTCCTTCTGATTTTTTAAAAAACTTTTTTATTGCCCTAGCCAGTTTTGCTCAGTGGTTAGACCAGCTGGGTCCTGGATTTGATTCTGGCCAAGGACATATACCTCAGTTGCAGACTTGATCCCCAGCCCGGGTCGGGGCGTGTGCTAGAGGCAACTAACCGATGTGTCTCTCACATCGATGTCTCTCTTTCTCTCTTTCTCCCCCTTTCACCCTCTCTAAAAAGCAATAGAAAAAATATTCTCAGGTGAGGATTAAAAAGCAAAAACAACAAAAAAACTTTTTTATTGACTTTATTGAGGTGAGGTTGGTTAATAAAATTATATAGGTTTCAGGTGTACAATTCTCTGATACATCATCGTGTATTGTAGTATGTGCTCACCACCCCCGTCAGGTCTCCTTCCATCACCGTTTATCCCCCCATATCCTTTCTCCCTCCCCCTATCCGCGTTTCCCATCTGATTTTTAAAAAAGACTGAATGTCCTGCCTAATGTAGATGAACCATAATTTATTCATTTTCCATCATTTATTTTGCCATTTCCTATTACTAGACATTTAGATTGTTTTTAGTTTTATACAAACGCTGCTATAATGAACAATTCATTTATAAGTCTTTGTCCTAGTCCCTAAGTATGTGTATGGAACTTATTTCTGAAAGTGTGATTGCGGTATTGGGACTTGAGTTGTGAAATCTAAAAGTTTATTTCAATCCTATACTGGGCTTTGTTTCATAATAAAAGGTAACTTCCTTCCTAGCCTTGCAGAGGGAGAAGGGAGCTCTTAATTACTTGTGTTGTTTACCCTCCTTTCCGTCTAAGAATGCTGCAACTGTGTTTTATAAGGCAGCACTCTAAAATATTTTAGAGTGGTGGGTGGTTAATTTTATTTGTCCTGGTGAGGGTGAATATACTGTAGCTTAAAGACTGGTGCTGCTACAGACAAATCACTTCATTTATAATTGGTAATAGTTAAATGAGTACCTTTTGTAGTAGGCTCATTGTTTTAGGACTTTATGACTAATATCAATTAAAAACATTATATATAGTTTAACTTCTTGCCCTGCTGAAGTCTGCTGTGTTATTAGTCATGAGGGAAATAAAGAACCCACTTCTCTTTTTCTTTTATCTTCTTCACTCTAGTCAATTCATAATAAAATAAACCTCTGTGGAGTTTGAAATCCAAAAATTCTTTTGCAAACCAGAGTGCTATTGATGGGCTAATTTCCCAAGGCAGGAGGTAGGTACAGATTCAGTCTCTATTCTGCAGTGTCTTGAGCAGGATAAAGAAGGTTTAAAATGTTTAATTTCTGTTTTATGTAGCTCACTCATTACCAGGAGGACGTTCAGGAATCTTTGCCCTTTTAACATGATAGAGACTACAGAGAGAGAAAAAAGTGCTAAGGGGCTAACCTTTTATGATGAAGTTGGAACTTGTGAGTGGCAGTTTCCCGGGCTGGTGCCCAGGGTCTATTTTGAGGCCTTGTCAGAGCTTGCCTGACAGAACCTACCACATAACTGTAATCTGTCCTGGACCTGCTGTGAATCAGGAAGGCTTGCGGTTTAGGAAAAGTGGCATCCACAGAAGAGGGAGCCTGAAAGGACATTTGCCTTCAGAAGATTAAGGCTACATTTTCGGGTGAAAATCTGCTCAGCATGCATATCCTAGGATCCGGTTTTTTGTCTTCCTGTTTAAAGGAAAGAGCATGATTAAGGAAAACAAATGAGGAAAATATTTTAGAAAAATGTGCACAAGCAGGAGCATAGGATTGTACCAGTGTTGATATTATGTTCTGGTTCTGAGAGTGTTTGCTAAGAATCAGGCACATGTTTTACAACAGGGAGAAAACACTGCTATTACTGACATAGGGAGGCCCTGTACCTAGTTGAAATAGGCTAATTCAGAGAACTTCATACTTGTCATTGGGATCAAAAGGACACTGGGAATGAATGAGCTGTTTTGCAGGATTATTTTGAGTTCATACAGAGAAATTAGCTTCTTCCCAAATTCTCCTTCTCTTCTTCCTATAGAACTGTTATAGTATCGTGCAATATCATGAAGTTATCTCTAAACTCTTGGTTATCATCAGATGATAGCCAAGCTTTCTCATAAAAACCTTGGTGTTTTCTATACTTAGTGAGTGAAGCACTTGAGTTTAAAGTTTTTTAACTGATCTCACTTGTTGGACTAGAAAGCTGTAAAAGAGCTTAGTACCCCACCCTTTGGACCCAGGTTCATGTCACCGTATTTAACTGTAGCCTGTATTGCAGTCAAGGTTGTTTGAAGAATTTGGCATACAGACAATTTACAGATGCAAAGCCTGCATCCTTCCTTTTGCTTTAGATTAGGTTGTGACTCCAGGAAATTTATTCTTGCCCTTAAGAATGTGGTTGTTAGTATTTGATGATGAAGATGCATTTAGTATTCAATGTGAGGAGAGAAAAAGAAACTGGCGTGTTTTTTGTTTTTTTCCTTCTCTGTTTCTATTATCTGGTTTATTCCTGTTATCTCTCCTGTTTTAGCCTTTCACTCCTCCTCCTCCAAAAAAAGAAGAAGAAAAAAAGAAAGAAAAGAAGGTTAGAGTAGAACAGAGGTGAGATAGTTAAAAATGAGGTTGGGAAAGCCTTGGAGTACATTCGCATAGAAGCGTGTTTTTATTTTCTCAGAAGTGGGATATTAAAACCTTTTAAAAGAATCATAGTTTATTTTTTCCATTGTTTTCACTTTGAGCTTTGTATATCTTAGTTTTCCTTCATTATGAACACTAACACTTTAACTAGTTGTGTGTTTTTTAAATCCCCACCTGAGGACATGTACATTGATTTTTAGAGGGACAGAGAGAGAGAGAAAGAGAAAGAAACACGGATTGGTTGCCATCAAACTGGCAAGCTGGGTATGTGCCCTGACCAGGAATTGAACCCTTGACCTTCCAGTGTATGAGACAATGTTCCAACCAACTGAGCAACACAGGCCAGGGTTTAACTACTTTTGATATAATATATATCTACTGCTTTAGGAAACAAATTTATTTTTAAGTTGCTTGTTCTGATCTCTTTGTTATTCTTTCAACATCCCCCACTTTCTTAAGTGGAAACATTTTAACAGCTAGGAACAATCTTTTGGCTCTCTGTTTTCTAAGTGAAAGGAGTACAGTATACTGTATGCAGAGGATTAGGATGTTTAAATATTTTCCAGTTAAATGGTTTAAATCATTAATAACAACAAACAGTACAGTTAGTAAGCATACATGTTGTTGCTATTTTTTTTAAAAAGTATTTCAGTTAAGCGACCCAAGGATTATAAGAAATAAAGAAAGAAAGGGGGGGGGGGAACAGTTTTGGAGTAGATGTTTCTTCCTCTGTCATGGATATTATTATATCTAAGTGGACAGTCAAGGAAATGAGACTGTCACTGTTCACCTGTCTTGCCATACTCACCCTTTGCTACAATTTTCTAAATTGTGGTAAAATATACATGACAGAATTTACCATTTAAACCATTTTTAAGTGTACAATTTAGTGGCCTTAGGTACTTTCATACTGTTGTGCAACCATCACCACCATTTATTTCTGGAACTTTTTCATCGTCCCAAATTTTATCCATTAAACAGTAACTCCTCATTCCCCACAGCCCTTAGTAACCACTACTTTGCTTTCTGTCTCTATGAATTTGACTACACCAGGTACCTTATAAGTGGAATCATATATTTTTCTTTTGTGTCTGGCTTATTTCATTTAGTACAGTGTCCTCAAGGTTCATCCATGTTGTAACATGTATGAGAATTTCACCCCCTTTTAAGGTTGAATTAATTTTCCATTGCATGTATGTACCACATTTTGCTTTTCCATGTATGTTGATGGACACTTGATTTACTCTCACCCTTTGGCTATTGTGAATAATGCTGCTGTGAACACAAGTGTCTAAATATTTAAGTTCCTGCTTTCATTTCATTCATTTCATTT